ATTAAAATAAAAATGGAGAGAATATATATATATATATATATATATATATATATATATATATATATATAAACTAATTCAATTTTTTAAATGAAAAATATAATAGCATCTCAGTTCATCTTCGCTCAGGTCCATTAACTAATATGAACAGATACAACTTTTGTTTTTAATAATGTATTAGTAAATGTAAATTAGCATTAACTATGATTAATAAATGCTTTTAAAATGTTTTTCATTGTCACTTCATGTTTACTAATGTTATTAACTAATTTTAGCAAATGGAATCTTATTGTAAAGTGTTACCTTACTATCTATGCAATATATGTAAATACTGGTACTATTAACATTATAACCCTGTAATAACATTTTATAAGTCAGTCAATAAGAGTAGAGGGGGTCCCTGTGTCATCAATCTGTCTACCAAGAGGTCCTTATCCTGAAAAAGACTGAAGACCCCTGATACTAATTCACACACCGAGTCACCAAAATGTGCCAAATCTTCAAAGAGCATGTTATTTACTAATGCATTATTAAAATCAAAAGGTGTGCTTGTTAACAGTTAATGCGCTGTGAATGTATTTTCATTAACTAACATTAACAAAGATGAATAAAAACTGTAATAAATGTATTGTTCATTGTTCGTTCATGTTAGTTAATACATTAACTAACATTAATTAATGGAACCTTACTGTAAAGTGTTACCGGTCACACTTTACAATTAAATACATTAGCTACATTTGTAATCAGTCTGTTCATTGCAGAGTTATTGCAGTTAACTAAAACTAAAACCATTAAAAAACAATACTTGAAATAAATTAACCTTAAAAAAACTTACGTTTATTTCAGCTAGTTGCCAAGGTGACATTTCTAATTTTCATTAGTTTAACTTGATCTACCAAAATAACTAAAAATGAAATATAATATTAATATAAACTATATAGACATATTAAAAATAAAACAAAAACTATTAAAAATGACAAAACAAACTAACTTAAATTAAAATGAAAATGGATAAGTCAGTCAATAAGAGTAGAGGGGGTCCCTGTGTCATCAATCTGTCTACCAAGAGGTCCTTATCCTGAAAAAGACTGAAGACCCCTGATACTAATTCACACACCGAGTCACCAAAATGTGCCAAATCTTCAAAGAGCATGTTATTCTTCAAGAAAAAAAAAGGGTAAGAAATGATCAAACGGAGCAGGGAACTTGATTTGAGGTTCAAAGCAGAGGGAACAGCAGACACATTGGTTTGTTGATGGAGAAATTAGGTTACAGGAAAACAGAAGCTTGAGGGGGCAGTATATTGCTCACACACACACACACACACACACACAGTCTGGTCAGCTATCCTTGT